ATCAGCAGATTCTCTTAAATTTGTTTTTATCTGCTGAACTTGAGATAATGAATAAGATTAATTAGATAAGCCACCGCCAAACTAACTCCATCATAATCGCAAGGACCTGAAATTTCGCAGTTTTCCAGTGCTTCCTTTTCGGTCCAATTCTAATTCAGAGCAGTTCAGAGGTAGCAAGAAAAATTATCGGGATAGCAAGCGATGAAAAAACAAACAAATTTTGAAACATACAGGGCAGCCGTTAATTTTCATGATTTAATTTTAAAATTATGCAGCTGGCACTTGTTTCAAGTTGCCTTGACGAATGCTGACAGTGGCCTAATCTTAACGTTCATTTCATCTCCTGAAGGGATTATCAACTCAAGCGCCTGGAGAAAGACCTTAAAACTTTCAATCTTTTAATTTTCTGGCTTTCGAGTGATCTTTGAGACAAAACTTTCACGTGGCCGTACATGAGACCTCGGCATATTTAGGAACTGAATTCGAGTTTGTGAAGCCACTGCTTAGGCAGGAAACATTCTGTTACTGAGTTTTAAAAATCCTGAGCATTGCTAATTTTGTTCCATCATGACTTCCTCCTAGCCGAGGCATGTAATGGCGCGAATCGACCTACATAAGGCTGCTGATTCTGTGCTACAGTTCAGTGTTTTCAGTATCGTAGCAGTGTTGTGTTCCGTTGTCTTGTACAGGCGATGAAGGATTCAATTACCCCGAGCTCTCACCAAGGAGCTGACAATCCAGTTCGGTGGGCGGGGCCCCGAGACTGCCCAACAAGGACAAGCCGTGAAATACCCAGGCCCAACAAGGACGAGCCGCCAAATACTCAAACCCAACAAGTGGAAGCTGAGCCGCTTCGCGCCATTACATGTCCTACCTAGGAGGAAGTCATGATGCAACAATTTTACACTGCGATGTGGAGATTTTTGTCAGCTGGGAAAGAGCTAGTCCGATTATTGCGCAACGACAGCAACGAACCTTTTTCATCAGTTCCATTACCACCAGCACAGGCTGTCCATCCGAAACGACACCATAAAGTTTCACGATGAATGACGTGTCGAACTGTTTCATCACGCTAGCTTCGACAAGAAAGTGGAGACGCTCAGCGCTGGATGCCGTTTCTGCGACCGTTTTAACGGCGCATTCGCCAAATACGGTGCCCAAAACCGAGCGGCAATTGTCACCGTAGCCAAGGAATACCTGAAATTTCAGTCCTTTTTAAAAAAAAAAAACAAAACCCTGAAACAGGTTCAGTGCTATTCATCGGAGATGCATTATCAGGAAGGAAATATGACTGGAAAGCTCCGCCATTGGATTTTATTTTTCGTAAATACTTACCTGTCCAAATGAACCTCGGCCAATTTCTTCTTCCAAATGAATGTCAGCTCTGTTCAGCTCCCACTCATCCGGTTTGTAAACATCCATTTGACTGAGATACTCAGGGTTTGCCGAAATCTGTTGGTGTATTTCACGGATCTGCAAAAAAATCTTGTGCTTTATTCCTTGAAAATCTGATAATCTTTTGTAAAATTGCACCTAAAAAAGCTACACTACAACTTAATCTTAGATAACATTGAAATCAGTTAAACTTACTTTGATTAAATTAAACTTGGATTAAATTTTAAAATTGAATTTGGATGATTTGAATTTAAATTTAAATAAAATTGAAATTAAGAATTAACTAAATATGAAATTAAAAAACTTAAAAACTTGACATAATTGAACAATGAAATTGAAAAAAAATAAATAAAATGCACAAAATTAAACGAAAAAAAATGAAAAATTGATGCATTTCTGGAAAAAAACCATACCTTTTCACCCATTATTTTCTTAAATGTAAGACGGATCGCAATTGCACAAATTACTAAGATGATGATAACGATACCAATGATAAGCAAAATTACCTAAACAACAGATTAACAATTTCAGCACTAAAAAAATAGTATTAGCAAAGCGTCCATTTAACTCTGTGATATAAAACTCTGTAAAGCGAATACCTGTAAGT